TTGAGCCTTTGGGGGACATTTAAGTTTAAACCATAACAGTCAGATAAAGGGAATTCAGAAAAAGCTCCCTTGGGGAAAGAAGGGCCAGAAACAGGCGAATGGGGGAAGGCTGGGGAGACCTTGGCTCTGAGATCGTTCCTTTGGCTTAAGTACTTGGCAGACCAGAGCACCAGCCTTGGAGATACCTCTTTCAGAGCCACAACACATACATTTTAGTGTCTGTAAAACTCCCTACAGACAGCAAATGTTTTTCTGTCAAACTAATGTGGAGCTTATCCCAAGTTTTTAACGCTGATCATCCTGAAGTGTATTATAGCATTCTTAAAAATCCGTTCATAATGTTGGCGTTGTTTCTAAACCGTATGTGATCCTTGCTCTACAGTCTTACTTTGTAAGTGTTTTGAAATGTAAAGAAGTTAAAGAGGAGTCTAAGCCTAGTCATGATGTCTCTACTCTATGGAGGCCATGTTGTAGAGTCCAAGTGTAGTGCTGCTTCTGACACAATGACGGAACTTGTAATTCACCTAGAGCCACACTGACCACATGGGAGGGAACACCGCTCTCCATGCCTGCTTAGAATTAAGGTGTGCTATTAATTTAAAATGTAGCCAGTAACAGTTTTTATTATGTGTTAAAATAATAATTTTTAAATACCTTGTGCTAAGTATATGATTCGAACTAATTTTTCTTGCTTCATTTTATTCATTTCTTTGGTGTGACTACTAAAATTAAAAAAAAAAAAAAAAAGAAATGTGTTCACACATCTCCATTGGACAGCACTGGCCTAGAGTCCTTAGCAGTACACAGGGTATATATTGTCTCTATATGCTAAATCTTTCATTGGCCTATATCTGAGAATGTATATGAGAAATGAGGGGAAATCACCTATTTTTAACCAAACCAGGTATTCTCTAGGTCTGTCTTTTTACATTAGAATGCTCTCACTCCGGAGACTAAAAGAAGTGTTCTTCCTCCAGCCAGTTACTTACGAGTTTCTGGACTGTGCCCTGCTTCCTTTTCCCCACACCTCACTTCCTGTGGAAGGCTGGCTCTCTAAGTTTGGGCAGTTGGGAAGACAAGACTGAATGGTACTTACTCAGTCTTCTCCTCTAACTCTTCCCTAATCCCAAATACTTAATACAAAGTGAAGAAAATGCAAAGACCGGATTGTCTTTGGGCTCTAATGCCGCATCCTAAACCTCTAGCCCTGCATGGATCCCAGAGGAGCTCTTCAAAGATGACCTTTGTTTGTAAAAAGGGGGAAGAGTCTGGAGCCTCTGAAATGTAGATGAACCTTCCTTCTGTTCTTTGTGACTGCAGAGACCAACCTTTCTCACCCAGGTGGCTTTTGTCTTTCCTTGTGTTATGTGAAAGCTGGGGAGGAGGAGGAAGCTACCTCATAGAGAGAGGAGGTGGGAGACAGCTGTGGAAAATATGGATGGTAGAGGCCTAAAACCTACTACCATTTACATGCTAATAAAAACCAGAAATGGCTTTTCCCCTGTTTGATCTGATTTGGAACTTTGTGACTTTTCTCTGGTATGGCATTTTACCCCCTGTGTTTTTCCCATTGTTGTTAGCTGTAAAAGGCTTTGAAATTCTCAAAACAAGGAAGGTTTTCCTCAGGAATAAGAGAACAGAACAAGCTGTGAAACTGCTTTGTGCTCATGGTGGGTCTGTTGGTGAGGAAAACCTCCCTTTGAAGATAGAGGTAGAAGCAGGAAAAAGATCCAGCCTTGGGTTTTGAATGTTCACACAAAACACAGTTTCACAGACAAAGGGAATTAAGAGATAAGTTTATCCTGAACTGAATATGAGTGACATGGATTTAGGTTGCCCCAAATAATACTTTCCATTATGGAAGTGATTACATGAACTTTTATATTCACTGAACAAAAAGAAATTATAAATCGAAGCAGATCACAGTCAAGCAAGGAAAACTCGTATGGGGTTTCTTTTCTTTCTTTTGTTTTGTTTGGTTTGAGACAGGGCCTTCTATAGCCCAGGATGGCCTACAGCTTGTTTTGTCACCTGGGTGACACTGGAACTCATGGTGATCCTCCTGGCGCAGGCACATACACACTTGAATTATATGCATGCAATACCATGACCAACAACATTGAGTTTTTGTGTCCTGTCTCGGGGTGGAAGAAGACAGAGCAGGTGGGAAGAGCTGGTCTGAGTACCTTTCATTCAGCTAGTTCAGGGCAGGATTGTCCCTTGCGGTGGGTAAGTTCTTGAGATAAGAGTGTAGGAAGGAAGTGTGCAATAAAATGTATTGAAGTTATGGAAGAACAGCAAGTGTGGAGATACAGTAAGTTCGATGCACATGCTAAATACCTATATGGGAAACTTGTGTGAGTGGTTGTAGATTCCAAATTAATGTTTGCTGACCTAGAAGATAATGAGATTTAACTAAAACGTTTTTTTTTTTTTTTCAAGTAACCGAAATAGTTTTCTGTTACTAAGCAAAGCAGTAAGAGGACTTGGATAAATGGAAATAGACCGTGACAGCTTAACCAATTTCCCGGACTAGGAGGTAGACAGACTCCCTTGGGAGCTGGGCAGATAAGGAGAGGATCCATGAGTAGGTAAGAAAGCTGGCAAACTTCTTCCTCATCCCAGGATCTAACAAAAGCCTGGCAGCTTAAAACAAAGGTCTTGTGGGTTTTTTCTTCTCTCCTGACAGCAGGTCCCTTGCTGATGGACTGGCTCTCTGAGTTCGAGGCCAGAGTAGGACATGTTCCACAACAGTGTGGGCCAGTCAGCCATTCTCCATTCTATCTTTCCTTAAACCAACCAGCCCTAGATTAGGAGAGGGAGGAGAAAACTCTTCAGACTTAAAAAAAAAAAAAAAAAAACAGCCCTCTAGGAGAGACATGACTTTCAACTTCCCAATCCCCCTCTGCTTTGGTGAGGGTCTGCTGCATACTGTGTTCCCTCACCCCCAATAAACACCTTTTTTCAACTGCTGATTCTGTCTGCTCCTGTTAGTGGTGTTTGAGATTTCTCTCTGTTTCCTGTTGTGCTTGAGATTTTTCATGTCTTTTAATTCTTTAAAATAAACCCAATCAATAATCACTGGAACACAGGTGCCTATTTTGGTAACTTTTTTACCCATCAAATTTAACCTCAAGGTGGCTAAGCATCTCTCTCCTGACTTAATGTCTCTTCCAAAGCAGCTTTTCAGTTGTAGCATGCCAGATTAATGTACTCATTGCAAACACTTCCCTTTGCAGTGTGAAAGAGTGTCTGAATTTAATGAGGTCACCTGTGGAGTCTTAACATTGTGTGTTTGTTTTGTTTAGGATTTAATTTTGGAAAGGCAAAAATAAAAGTTGAGGGTCAGGTATTGTAGCTCAGCAATAGGGCACATATCCAAGTATAAACAAAGCCCTGGGTTTGATAGCCAGCACCACAGAAGTACATAATAAAGCAGGAGGTGCTAGATGTGGATTTGACTGCTCATTTCAAAGTCATAGTAAAACATAAAAATTAGCAGAGATGGTAGCAGACCTTATACATGGAATCAGTAACCTAGGCCCTAAGCCCAACAACATGAAACAAACTTTGCTAAGATTTCTATGTATTTTATGGATTTTTTCCAGACTTAATATTTTCATATGTCATAATCCAAGGAAGTCATATTTACTTTCATCAACTTTCTGTATTCAGGTCTGTCTTCTTTATGACATAAATATTTTCTTTCCCCTTGATAAATAAGTTATATCCTATCATGTTGCTGACAAAGTTTTTTTGTTGTTTACATAAAAAGATTTAACCTCTTGCCATTATTATACCAATTTTCTTTTTTTTTGGGGGGGGGGCAGTGATACAGGATTTCTCTTTGTGGCTCTGCCTGTCCTAGAACTCGCTCTGTAGACCAAGCTGGCCTCAAACTCACAGAGATCAGCCTGCCTACAGGATTAAAGGTGTGATTATCAATTGTCTTTTACCTAGAGTTACTTTGAGTATGAAATCACAAAGGGAATAAGTAGGAAATACATGAACTGGATGTGGTAGCTCACCTCTATGTTCCCAGCACTTAGGAAGTTGAGGCAAGGGGATGAGAAGCTCATGATCATCCTCTACTATATGATGAGTAGTAACACCAGCCTAGGATACACATGACTCTGCCCCACCCCAAACCGTGCAAAATTTGATGAACTAATTGATAGTTGTGCTGAGGTTTGGGTGGACAGAATGATGTGATTTGGAATTTCTATAGGCTTGTTCATTTAGCTTGTCCTCTCTGCTGCTCTATGGCATTTCTGTTCTCTGCATGTAGGACATCCTATTTCAAAAGAAGGATAGGTAATTCTTTTAGCTTCAGGGGACAAGAGCCAGAGATCAGAGTAGCCTTTCTGCTATTGCTATTGCTGTTTCATCATTAAATACCCAAGTGTCATATTTGGGCTGATGTTCCCTGAACCTTGTCATAATTAATGGGCCAGTAAACCATCTCATTTAGTAACGATCTAGATATCTATCAATGTCATTTGAGTTTAAAGGCATTTTATTTACTTATTGTAAATAAAATGTGTGTGCATATGCACATGTTTGTACATGTGTGTGTGTGCGCGCGCGCGCGTGCGTGCGCACGCATGCGCACATGGGCATGTGCCATCATGCATATGTGGAGGTCAGAGAACAACTTGAAAGAATTGATTCTCTCCTTCCACCACGTATATTCTAGGGATCATACCAGGTACTTAGGTCAGCAGGCTTGGGGGCCAAGCACCTTTGCCTGCTCTGCTGTCTTGCCAACCTATCATCTAAGGATTTAAAAAGAATCTTGGATAAATTTTTAAGGCAAATTCTACAGAATATGATTTCTTTTGAAATAAAATTGCCGGAGGGATTCATCAAGCCAGTTAAAAGACACTTTTTCATTCTCATGACTATAAACAGTAATCCAGAGTAACACTGTTTTATATGATTGGTAAAGCTGTATAACTTGAGAAGGAACATATTCAAATAGAGTAAAAGTCTATGCTTACCAGTTTTGGAGGTCTGCCTGAGACATTCACCAGATTCACCAACCGATGGTAAGCATCCATCTCAACCAAAGAAATGCTGTACCTATGCTTCAGCCCCTACACCAAAGCACAAGAGAACACCGCTAATTCCACTTTTTCTAGTTTCCATTTTGCCACTGATTTTGTGGCTTGTTTTTGCAGTCGGGCCATTTAATGATCCTGAAGTTATAAAAATCTAGAAATTCTGCTGGGTGAGAAAAGAAGACAGTCTGGTTAGTTAATCTTTGCTGTTTTGAGTTCAAATAAATTAAGAATTTGGACTTACTGAAAAGAAAATAGCTCTTTGGTATGAACTAGTTCACAATTGTGGGTTTATTAACCCATCTGAAATTTTAGCACTGAGGTCATAAATGCGGTGTGACTAGCTCCACCTGCATATCTCTAATTCAGACAAGCCTTTCTTCCCTTCCATTGTGTGTAGTATGAAAGAACTGCACCTTCTGATCAGGGAGTATTAATGATGGTGCAAAGAGCAGAATTTATAGGTCAGAGCTAAATTACAATTCTTGGAGTAGTTTTAACCCCCTTAATAGTCATTATTTGTCCACCTGTGTCTGACGTAACATCCTGTGACTAACAGATAAATCCTTTTGAAATGCATTACTAGACTACAGATAGCATCTGAGGCCTGCTGTAACTGAGGAGAGCCTTCTGCTTTAACCTGCCTACTTCATGTTCCCACCAATGGATTTACACGGTGACTCAATCACAAACGTTGTTCTGTGGTTGTAAAACTTCACAGTTAGTAAAGTGGAACATGACTTTAATCTGTATTCCCTGGCCATGGTCTCTCAGATTTGGCTTGTGAATGAAGCGAACACATAAATTAAAGAAGTTATATTACTCATGAGATACAAAGAAGCCTGGCAGATGTTACAGACAGCCCAAAAAACCAAGTCAAGACTTGGACATAGTAACAACACTACCAAAATGCCCACCCCATGGTCAGGAGAAAGGTTTTTATTATGGATAAGGGAGAGAGAGACTATCCAGAGGCATCTGGAAGAGTCCAGAGCAGAGGTAAAAGTAGACTGAACATGGCCAGGGCTATCTGCAAGAGAAGAGCAACAGAGACTAGCAGAGGCAGGGAGAGAAACCTTAGTAGAGTGGGAAGTAACTAATCTGGACAGCCTGGAGCTAGCAAAGGGGAGGAGTGGAGGATATGAGAAAGGCCAGGAGCCTAACACGTAGGTGCTTTGAGATGCATAACAAGTATTTGTGAATAGGGATCTGAAGAGGCTGGAGGCTAGCTTTGGCTTTGGTATGCACCAGGGGTACATGTCAATAGAAAGCCAGGTGTCTCCTCTGCCAGAGGCAGGGGAGATAGGGAAATGGCTCTTTGTGACAGACAGAAACCTATGTCATAGGTTCCTGGGGAATGCTGAATGTATCCAATGGCAGTCCTTCTATAGTCCATTTTGAGCTGAGCCAAGACTGTCATTTTGGACCAAGTCAGTGGATTTGCCCTTTTGGGGTGCTTAGGTTTAAACAAACAAACAAAACAAAAAACATAACAAAGGTAACATGCACTTGTATGGGGAAAGGAATGTTGATATAAATTTCAAATGGATACAAAGTTGGTATTTCTAGAATAAGGTCAGTAGGTGGGAGATAGGACAGAATATGTGTGCCTGTAAACTGTGGCCGTTCACTTTACTGGTGATAATCATGCTCTCTGATATCAGCAGAACACTAAAGTAGGTACTGAACAGTTGTTCTCGGAAGGTAGAGGTGAGTTCCTCCAAGCCTCTGGTCCAGGCCTTTCATCAGTTATCAACACTAGTTTGTTGTATGTATCTCCTACAGATAGTTCACACTGAGCTTGTAAACAACAGCGTGCTAACTCATACCTGAACCAAGGTTATTCAACATACATATTGTCACATCATAGTCTACTAGCACCATGCCCAGGAACTATTCTTTCTTGTCAGTGAAAGTACCGAAACAAAAATCAACAAAAAAATGTGGCTCTAAATAGGCAGTGAGGAGCATACCTGAGAGTCTGAGGGCTGAACCAAGAAGACAGAGAATACTTTGCTTGACCTCAGCCAGGAGGCCATTCCAAGTCTGTTTCCCTTCTGTGCACATCAGAACTGACCACAGAAGGACAGGCATATTGATTTGGGGGCTACAAATGAATTGTTATGAGTAAGCGAATTCACAGGAGAGTATTATTTGTACCAACAGCCTACAAAAGAGTTTGTCCTACTTAGCTCTTCATTCCTAGTCCCTGGTTGAGACATTTCAGGGGACTGAGAGAATAAGGAAGAGGGGTTATTCCATAGACCACTCCCTCCTCCCCTTAGAGTTCTGGAATCATTTGTCTTATGGTAGGATTATCTGTGGTGCTTTGGTGGGGTTCCTAGTGCATTATGAGTTAAGTAGGATTCTGGGAAATCTTATGCATACATAGCCCATGCCCCAGACTAATTACCTCAACATTTCTGGTCATGACTTTTAGATACTTGAATATATCAAGGAATTTTTTTAAAAAGTGTTCTAAATTCCTACTGATTTTGAAACTTTTGAAACAAAAGTCACAGTAATTGGTTGATATCTTGGTTTGTTTTATGGCAAATTCTGAATAGGTGTTTCCAATTACTGCTTTGGAAATAATAATAATAATAATAATAATAATAATAATAATAATAATCTGTATGACAGTATATTATTTGAGAAATAAACTTGCCGAGACCATTGACCGTTGTGTCAGAGGGGGTGGTATTTTGAGAGCTGCCACAGCTCCAGCAGGTAGAAGGTGTGTTACTCTAGGAAATCTAACAGGTGCTGTGTGTGTGCCTTGATTTGCTTGCTGGCATCTTATGTCCTTTCACAGAAAGGATTGTCCCCCAGTCTATCCACAGCCTTAGTCCCTTCTAAAAGAATATCTGGATACTTAAAATCATTTCAAAGTGGGATTTTGAAGTGAAATTCCTGGACTTTCTACCTTGCCTTGTCTTAAATGTTTGGGGTCCGCTTGGCCTTCCACTAGGTGTGATATACCAGACTAGAATCCTGTAAGCGGCTTGAATTACCCTTGTGCCTTCCTTGGTGTTTCAGACTTGCTTGTTCTGATCCCTGAGGTGTAGCAGTATCTTCTAATTGTTTGTGTCACATTATGTGGTGTTCACTTGTCCCAGTACAGATTATTAAACTGTTTGCTTCCATCCTAATTAATGTTAGGTTTGCAATTATGTTATCAAAGGAGAAGAACCTTTCACAGAACTGCAGTCAGGGTTTCTAGAGTAAAATTTGTCATAGGCAGTAAAAGAACAAATGAATATTTCTCTGTATTTTTTTTTTAATTACTGAGCCATAAATGAAATGGTTCTGTAAATCAAAATGAGTGGGTTTTCCTTTATCTCATATGAAAGTCCTAACTGTTGTGATCCGGTTTGTTATCAAGGGCATGTGTGCATGCATGTGTAGTGGATACGTGCATGTGTGAAAAGCCTGCACCAACCATTGCATCGGAAATAGAACAATCCAGCCACAATGTAGAGATCTATAAAATAAGGTGGCCTGCTTTTTGAAAAAGAAATTTGTTATTGGACATTAAAGATCACATTTTAAGTTTCCTAAGCGTTTGCCAGATGTACTTCTCTTATACTGTAGCTTAAAGTTGAAAATATTTTTGTGAAAGCGTTCTACTGTGTGGAACAGCCGTCAGCTTCTCTCATCATGTAGGTGCTGGTGGGTGGATTTGTGGCTAATCTGTGCCATATGGCTACTCTCCTCAGTGGGAAGTGATGGCAGTCCCAGGAGCTTTACTCCATCCCTGGGCAGCTGCCTTGGACTCAGTTGCTTTGATCTTCTTGTTGCACAGCTGGAAGAAGCAGGGCCTGGTTTTGAGTGACCTAATAAGACGGCATACGGGACCACTGTCGTAGACTGCACCTTCCTGTTATATAAGCATTCCTCAGACAGCGTACTGTTTCAAGTCTGGGTTATTCGTTTTAAGATTCGGACATTGTAAATATTTTACTAAGAAATTGTCTGTGTTCTATTTCATATAAAATTCCTCCTTTGTAGGAACAAATTTCAGATGAGAAGTAAAAATAGAGGAGCATATAGAATTCACGTAACTTACCCATTGCTAAGTACATATTCGATATCTTCTTAATAATGTCCCAGAACAGAGCAGAAGTGTGTTCTGAGTGAATGAAAATCTAAAGTTACATCGTCTTACTTTACCTCCACTGTCTACTAGACTACCATCAGCCTGCTTCCTAACCCTGTTGCTTTTTGTCAGACAAGTGCAGTCGCTTGTTCAGCTTTAGGAACAGAAAAACATGAGGGGAGACAGTTGTCCCTATATATCCTGACAATCAAGAGTGACTGGTGGGGCAGTCAGAGAGAGAGATCAGATCCAGACCACAGGTTTCTCCTGAACTGCATCACCATTGGTAATGTAGTCTAGCTTAGAGTTCTCAGGAGTAAACTAAACCAGGAGCTCATTTCTGTGTTTAAATCGTCCACTCTTCTCTCATGGCACTGGCCCTGACAGCATTTTGGAAGTCTATAACCAGAACAGATAATAGTAGAGCTACGCCTAGGTTCTGATGTAAGGTGAGCAGTAGAATTCATAGTATTTGTCAATATGTTCCCATTTCTTCATTTCCTTTCAGGACACCATTATTAAACTAGAAAGTATGTCTTGGCAGGCAGTAGGTGGTAATAAAGCATGTTTCTCACCCATCAGTTGGCAAAAAAAGATCATGCAATTCCCAAGTAATCTAACCAATGACTGTCATAACAAGACATAGAATCGACATTAGGAAATTTCTTGGTTGTTCGTTCCTTCATAGATGGAACAAGGTGGAGTGAGCACTGTGGGCACATAGACTTCATTTCCCAGAATTCTTAAAAGTCTTGTAAAAATACTTTTTAAATTGAAAAAAAAAATCTACACAATCAGGCTAAAAGTGGGTAAAATAAAAATGGTAACTACAAGATAAATAAATCTTTAAAAAATAAATATATATTTTATGTGTATGAGTGCTTTATCTGCATGTATACCTTTATTCCAGAAGAGGGTATTAGATCCTACTGTAGATGATTGTGAGCCACCATGCAGTTGCTGGGAATCGAACTCGGGACCTCTGGAAGAGCAGCCAGTGCTCTTAACCGCTGAGCCATCTCTCCAGCCCTACAAGATACATTTAAAGAAACTCGGTTTTACATATGAGGTGGACAGTGTATGGCTTTAAAGTCAATCTATTTTTCTATGTGTTTTATTTTTCTTTTATAAATAGATACATTTAATCTGGATATAAATAAATCATAACCAATTACATATAACTTTGTTTTTTGTTTTTCAAGATAGGGTTTCTCTATATAATAGCTCTGGCTGTCCTGGAACTCACTCTGTGGACCAGGCAGGCCACAAGTTCACAGATCTGCCTGCCCTTGCCTCCCCAGTGCTGGGATTGAAGGTGCACATCATCACTGCCCAGCACATGTAACTATATTATATGTATAACTTATTATCTATAATGCCTGCCCCATCAGCCAAGCAAGTTACAGATTCCAACAGAGCCCTCAGTCCACCGCTGGTGTTCTTGCCTCAGGGCCTAAGTAACTGCTTTTTCTTTACCTGACACCTAGTGCACTCCCAACATCCTGCAGGTTTTTTTTTTTTTTTAATATTTGATAGTTTTTTTATTTTATAATTTAATTTTACATATCAGTCACAGATTCCCTTGTCGTGGTCCCCCCAGGCTACCCCCCACTCCCATCTCCTCCAGGACAAAGACTCCCCTGGGGATTGAGTTCATCCTGGTAGATTCAGTCCAGGCAGGTCCAGTCCCCTCCCCACAGGCTGAGCCAAGTGTCCCTGTATAAGCACCAGGTTCCAAACAGCCAGCTCATGCACTGAGCACAGGACCCGGTCCTACTGCCTGGATGCCTCCCAAACAGATCAAGCTCATCAGCTGTTTCACTTATCCAGAGGGCCTGATCCAGTTGGGGGCTCCTCAGCTATTGGTTCATAGTTCATGTGTTTCCATTCATTTGGCTATTTGTCCCTGTGCTTTTTCCAGTCTTTGTCTCAACAATTCTCGCTCATACAAACCCTCCTCTTTCTCGCCAATTAGACTCCTGGAGCTCCACCTGGTTGTTGTCATGCTGGAGACCTCATCCAGGCCTCCTGCAGATCTTCCTGTTACCTTCTCAGGGAAGGAAGGAAGG